CTCTAAATAAGTAATATAATAAATAAAAATTTTTTTAATTGAGTGGTGTCATGTGACACCACTCCCCTGTACGTGGGTCCACCCATGGCTTAGAGGGGGAATACTTATTTTGTTGGATTCCTTGTTTTGTTGGATTTCATGTGTTGTTAATGAGATTTGAATAGTAAGAGGATATTTGTACAAATAAGTGTATAGGTCCTTGTCCTTGGACGAATATGTATATGTTAAGGACAGGTCTTAGCATTAAGGTTCAAAATTCATTTTACTGTTAACCAGTGCTCCATACGTCAAATAAAGAAAGGAACTCAACTTGTTAGATCAGTTCAAGCATGTACTTTAATTGTTTAAGATGACGCTCCTATAATTCATAGATATTGTTTTCAAGCTTTAGGCAAAAGTTTAAGAGATATTATGTATGATGATTTGTCTGAAATTAAACTTAAACCTTTTGAAGGAAAAACAGTATTGTTAGGAGGAACTTTAAACAAATTTTACCCATTCTTAAAGGTGGCACAAGAACAACTATCAATGTTATAATAACCCTATTTTATAGAGTTATCTTGAATTTTTAGAGCTTAAAAATGACTAATGTCCTCTTATCTTTCATTAATTTAGCCTTGTTTTTACATTTTTTTTCTTAGGATTTACGTTATGCATGTTATAGTTTAATTAATTAATTTGAGTCTATTTTCATATTATTAAGTCTTGGTTGTACCTTCTATTGATTGTGCTATATGTTGGTGAATGTGCAAAAGAGCATGGAAGTTAAATTTGCTAAAGATTATGCATTTTTGCTTAAGTTGACCTTAGATCATGCTGCAGTATTCGAAGCATATCTTGAGCTACAAAACTCGAATTGACACGATTCTTAGACCTATGGAAAGATAAAAGAAAGAGCTACAACTTTAATGTTTAGTACTTCATCTAGTTCAAAAGGGATCATGGCCAAAAATGTAGAGAAATTTGACTGATTATAGTAGATGGCATGCTGTGTGGACAGTAGCTTGGCAGTTAGGCGCTAGCCTTTGGGCCAACACATGAATCTGCACGTTAGTGGCCATTCGATTTTACATCAAACAGCCAATACAGAGGGTATAAATACAATTTTTTTTTCGACTTAGAAAAGAGGAGGATTCAAACACTAATTTGGGAAAAAAAGAGGTTGGAACCAAAGAAGGAAAAGAATAGAAAATCAAGAGATTGAAGGATCAAAAAGCTGCTCTAGAGAATTTTTCACTTTAGATTTATTTTCTCTCTCTAACTCTTTTTGTAAAAATGCTTCATTTTGCTGAGATTTGTGTTTGTATACTAAATATGTTAAGCTAGAACTCTTAATCTAGGGTTATGGTGGATTTTAATATGTAGCTTGTATATTGTGTTAGTTTATTACTTATTTTCTATGGAAACAATGATGTTTACCCAAATCTATATTTATTGCCCTTTTATTTGCTTGTTCACCATTTTAATGTGCTTAGGTATTTAGATGATACTTGAAAGAGTTAGTCTAACTTAAACCTTGATTGGGGTAATCTGTATTCAGTACACTTAGAATTGAATTTAAGTGTTTTGATGTGCTATTAAGGTAGGCATAAGCCTAGTTGTCACATATAGTCAATTTTTAGAACCTTGGATTAAAGAACTTAATTTAGTTGTTTCTTATAGACATATAACAATTCAGTTAAATTAGATAATTATCTAATATCTCGATGGAGAATTACACATACTTTAGGATTTTATATTAGCATCAATTTCCATTAAGATTAAGTAATTAAGAAAACACCATTCCAAGTGAAATATTAAATGATACCATAATCATAGATTATTAAACCATTACTTCCACCTCAATTTGTTATTCGCACTTTTTACATTAGAATTAGTTAATTATATTACTTTTCAATCATTTTTCAAAATGTGGTGCTTGGATAAAATTAGCTTGTTTTAATTTTAGTAATTAGCAACAACCAGCAAACCAACCTCTCGAGAGATCGACAAACTCAACTTATCACCATATTACTTGTTGCGATTATGTACACTTGCATGTAGTCTTTGTTTGTATTTTGCATTTAATTTTGAACACATTTCACATCACATAAGCAAAGCACACAACATGCTACAATAAATCAATCGTCATTATGGACTCAATGCAAAGTATTTCATTAAAAAAAATAAGATTACAACAAAATGATTTAGATGAACAATCAAAGAATGAAATTGAGGCATTTGGAATATAATTATTAAATATAGGTGATGGAAATTCAAAAACAACTATACATGAAAACAAAGATGATTCGTATTCAATTAAACTACCTAATGATTTACTATTTCCACATATGAATGATCTAATAAAAAATATTGTAAAAGAAGTTTATGATAATTTTGAAAAGTTTTATATTGATATTGCGTATCTAAAATGTGATACCCAACATCCTACATCTGATGTGAATGTGATTGGTAAGACCTATATAACAATCCAAGTTCACTATTACTAGCAACTTGAGCTTAAGCTTTTGAGGACCACGTGGTTTAGGCCCAAAAAGTTATTGGATCAGTGGTTGGACTTGGGTCGTTACAAATAGTATCAGAGTCTGCGCCGATCCAATGTGAGCTTTCACATTGCTCTAATGAGATCTTGGTCTTGTGGATGTGATGTGTGGCTTTGATAAGGACATCAAGGATTTGAGTGAGTGGGATTATGATACCCAATATCTCACATCTTATATAAATGTGATTATTAAGATCTATATAACAATCCAAGTTCTCTACTACTAACAACTTGAGCTTAATCTTTTGAAAGCTACGTAGTTTAAGTCCAAAAGTTACTGAGTCAGTGGTTGGATTTGGATCGTTTCATAAAAAACAAAAAAAAAATAGCTCTGGTTACCCTTTACAATGAAACAATTGATTTAATAAATACATATACTCTTACCTTAGTACTAGGAGAAATGAAGACATACTACAACAATGATACAATTTCTCATCCAACATATCAAATGTCAAACCATGAATTGTTTTGCAGAACAAAATTCCTAAACTCAAGCTTTCTAGTATATCTTATCATATTCTCAATCTTAAAGTAGGTTGTGTAATTATGCTATTCAGAAATATTAACTAGACTCTAGATTATGCAATGGTGCTAGACTGCTCATTACACAATTGGTTTCAAACATTATAAAAGACAAAATTATATCTTGTATACATGCTAACAATGAATTCAAACATTCTTAAAATAGTAGTAATAATAAAAATAAAAAATAATTTTTTAATTTTAATAGAAAATAATTTTCAATTAAATTATCTTATAATATGACGATCAACAAAAGTCAAAGTCAAACACTCAATAAAGTTGAACACTTGATAAAGTTGGTTTATACTTATCTAAACCCATTTTCACACATGGTCAACTATATATTGCTTTTTTAAGAATTACTTCGCATCAAGGATTGAAATTTTTTATCACATAGGATGATGGACGATCGAATGAAACAATAAATATCGTATATAAAGAAATATTTAATAATTTTCTTTCAAGTATATAACATAACTTCGTTAGGTTTAATTCTTCTTTTATTGTAATATACTTTGATGTTAATAAATTTGGTAAATTGTATTGTTCTGATAACATAAATACATAATTAGAGTTAACAATATGTTCTTATTACATTTATTTAATTATCCTTTATAATATAATAACGATTTTCAGTAATCTAAACTACTTAAATTCCCTAGAAAAACATATCAAACAAGTGGCAATATTTATTTATGTGATGCGAGGCTAATGGTAGGTACATGACAATTTCAATTACATGCATACAAAATTAATGAAGCAGAAATGAAAATTACAAAATTAAGGAAATAATGATGACCCTAATTCAAGCTTTATTTTCCCATTTGGGAGGGTAATGGATATGCTCGGCTTACTTGTACCGGTGGCAATCACGAGTGTAGATACCACAGGGCTGATTTTTCTTTGGGGAGTTCTTAGGAGGCAGGGAGTTCCCAGCTGGTTTGCCAGGGTTTAGGCTGGCGTCGATCGGATGTGGGCTTCCTCCTGCTAGCATCCGATTGATATTGGAATCCATCACGAACTCCACCTCCATGTCGTCGTCGGCGGCGACGGAGGCAGTGCCGTTGAGGGACTTCAGTGAAGCACTTATTGCTGCTGCATATGAAGTTGAGTTGAGCAGAATCACCAGCATTATTACGAGACTTGAAACAGAAAGAGAAGCACCAGCTGCTTGCAGCATGCCTGCCATTGTTTTCTTCTTTTCTGGCTATGAACTTTGGCTTGTGTTAGAGCATCTACAATCATGCGGTGATCAACTACTTTTGGTAAACGATTACAACTTTTTTGAATTTAATATTCCCCAAACTTTATTTTTTTAATATATATATAAAGAAAAGTTGTTTGATCATTATAATTATAAATACGAGAAATAAAGAAAATAACCATAATTCCACCGATAGTTAAGAGTTAGTCATCCTGTCTTCACTCAACTGGCATACGTTTTATATGATTTTAAGTGGCTGAGAATCATTATGCTTTAGATTTTGATTAGATTACTCATGATAACGTTACTTCTAAAGGGCCCTTGCATCACATGAGCCAGCAGTACTGATCGTGCGCCCTTGCGAGACCCACACATGGATGTCTCTGCTCATGTTTTGGGCATATAAAAAATCACAATGAAAAATGTCATATGGTATTATTGTAATTCATAGGTTGCATGACACAGCAGTGTGGAAGAAACCTGTCCCCTGTCCAATGAAACAAGGAATCATCCAACAGAGATAGGAATTTCCAACCCCCTTTTTTCAGGGTACATTACACTTCAGTAACACTTTGTTGAGCAGCCATGCTCTCATCTTTATAAATAAATGCAATAAGAAAAATTGTATCGATTGATACTAGAGTGAGACTGAATATTTATGTGTTTCACACTATCTTCAACCTACAAGATGCCTTTTGTACAACATAACCAAGACCCAATGAACCAAAAGACTAAAGCAAATTGTCTTTTTTCTATCAAACTTTTCCTTCCAGGAGGAGAGACTAAAGCTCATCTGTTTCTGGTTCAAACTTCATACATATCAATGTTCTTAATTCAAGTAAAGCCTAACTAAAAACATACACGTAGATCACATTCATTTGCTACACAGAAAAGAAAATCTTAACACAGTAAGAAGTCCGTATCTAGCGAGTACAATGACCTAAGTAATTAAATACAGAGACAAAAAACAACAATTACAAGAGGAATGCAGCAGATGGCAAAGTATGATATGCTTCAAGACTGCATTTTCACCACTGAAATAGAATCAGGCTCATGACCATGCACCCTCAAACGGTAAATGCAGGTATGTGAGGGGCTCCCATGGTTGGAAGAGAAATCCAGTCTGACCGTGTCAATAACGCCAACACCTGCTGCATACAATACATCAAAGGTCTGCGCGATACTCTTCTCAAGGTCATACGCGAATTCTGCCAAAAGAAACATCTTATAGCCATCAACTGGTGAATCAAGATCACGACCTTGCAGCCAGCCAGAGACACGGCAGTCCTTGGGTGCACTCGATCTGTCATAAGCCACATTCTGTTCACAGTACAAGAGCAACACATTTAGCACTTGCGATAAAGTTGATAGAGAACAGAAACAGAAAGAGCACTCTCTTAAATTAGCCCTTCATTTATTTTTGCTGGAAAAAAGTAGCTAATAGCAAAGGCAAGCACCGTTGATAAATGATGATAAATGCAGACTTCAAATTTTCGTACTGTCAAAAACTATACTCTCAATCATAAGAAGGTTGCATCTTTGCAAAAAGTAAATGTTTTTATTAAATTAAAAAACCTAGAAGCTAGATGTTTGCAGGGTAAGTGGCTTTACATAAATCTTGAGGGAACCAGCCTGATTGAAGCATTAAACACCCATTTGAGGACCCAAATAAAGATTCAGGGCATATACACAGAAAAGACATCAGTCTCTACTTTATAGGATCCTGATTTACTGCAAATAGAAAAAGAAACAGTACTGTGGATAGGCATTTCATCCACAAAAATAGGGAGTACAGAGCTCCATATTATGAACCTTGAGACACCAAAAGGGAGACTGAAGACAAACTACAGGAGTTTTGATAGCTAGCATAAAGGCTACATTTTGTAGACAAGCATTTTAGGGTTTATATTACTGAGACATTTACAGAAGAAAGGTTCTGTAACAGTAACAGTAAGCTCCTTTACAAATTGAGGTGAGTTTTGATAGCTAAACTGAAGGCCATTCCCTTGATGACAACCACTTTGGGGTGCATGTCAGTGGGGCCTATACAGAGAAAATTAGGTGAGGTGGCAAATCCAGCTGCAGAATTGCACTCCAAGTATAAAAATCGCATTAGTTGAGATTTAACTAAAGGCTAGATTCCTTTAAGTCAAGATTCATCATCAACTTCCTACAAATATACAGAATTCTACATATAGGAGGAAGACATTCATTATCCACCCACCATTGTTATTCTGAATGGATTGCTGCTTCTTTTCACCTCAATATTACCTCTACCATATCCTACTCTATATGACCTCATCAGTAAGTCTTTCATTCTATCAGCCAAATCACAAGATAGGTTTCAAATATTTTCTAAAAAGTTCCAAATGAAAATAAATAAATCATCTTTTATTTCTAAATTTTAGGAAAAAGAAGTAAAAAAATAGATTAGAAATGTGAAATTGAAAAAATAAACTGCAAAAATCCACAAGGGACAACCACTGAACAAATAAAACATAAATGTAGTAATCCAAAAAAACCAACAAATTTACAATTAAAAAGAAAATGAAAATTTTATATGTGCCAATTAGAGAATCACTCAACAATAAAACATAAAAAAATTTATACTAAATAAACTGCAAGCATGCCAGTCTGCCACAGACTTACCTCAACATCTTGCTCAAAATCAAAAAACATAAAGCACATAAAGCAACAATAAAACATTATTCTATTAAAAATTATACTTGCTGCAGAAAACAATAATTGCCCCGTTAGCTATGAGATGAGTATAGCGAAATCCTAAGGGCTGGCTTTTCTTTTGCAGATTTTCCTTAACACCAAGCCAAGCAAGCTAACATGACAACAAAAAAGTTGACCAGAAATATATTCAAATATGCAGCAAGAGATAATGCAAAAAATAAAAAGAAACAGAAACACTAGAATTTACATGGTTCAACTTTAAATCTAAGTATACAAGTAAAGGAAATGAGAAATTTCCACTATAGCCAAAATAAGATAAACATACAACAAGTATCGGTGCTCACAATTCACCTAGATAAAATGGGGCAAGGTGATTTTTTGCCTGCCCCAACACCAAGTTATCAACTTTAATGCCTCGCCCCCACACCAAGTTAGCAACTATAATACCTTGCCCCGACTTGAGAAAAATATACAACCCGCATCCCTTCCACCCTGCCACAAAATTGGTTTTTTTATGATATTATTTTAGTTTAATAGTTATGTAAATTTTTATTTTTAATGTAAATTGCATCTTACTTACCTTAAATATATTATAGTATTATAGTTAACCACTCTAATTAGAATTAAATAATTAATTTATTAATATAATATACATATATCTATAGATATAAAATACATTATTTCTATCTATACCCCCGGAGAGGTGAGGTGGGGAACCCTAAACCCAAACTGACTCTCCCCATTTTTTATAGTAAAACCCGACCTCACCCTTGATTTCAAACAAAAACACTAGAGCAAAACCAATCAAGTACAAGTTATTTTGTGATCCCTAACTACACCAGACAACTCGAGAGCAAGGGCTCTTCAAATTTTCTAAACTCCCTAAACTCACTTTTTTTCCCTTTCTTGTAAGAAGCAAAAACGAATCAAATTGAGGTTGTCCATCCTTTGTTACTTGACTTGCCATTTCCATTGCTTGCAACTCCAAAACTTGTCATTAATGAAGGTAGAAAGAAAGACAAACAATGGCAAGGGCAAAGATACAAACCAAGGAAAAAGAAAAAAAAATGGTCAGGCAACACTATTCCTAGGGTTAAGCATTATTTGGTCAAAATCCAATTAATCAAAGAATTCAATTAAAACCATTCAATTTGTTCAGCTATTCGATTAATTTCACAAGCTCGTTCTGTTTGACTAAATGCCCATTTGGATGTGTGGTACAATGCGGTGGAAGGAGGCTCCCACTGCAATACACTGCAGATCCAAATGGACCTTCAATTAATCGATATCGATTATAAGATTGAAAATTTGTTAATTGGATTAATCGAAATAAGAAATAATTATATAGCCCATTAACTCTCAAATCCAATATAACAAAGTGATATATCTGAAATTTTTTGTAAATGACTTTGAAAAATAAGACAACTCCAGTGCTGCCCACCATTTTCTCTTTTTCCTTCCATTACCCTTGGTTTTTTTTTTCCCTTTGCCATTGTTTGCCCTTATTTTTACCTTCATTAATGACATATTTAGAGTTGCAAGAAATGACAAGTATAAAAGTCAAAAAGAGTAATCAAATTCCATTTTGTTTTCTTTTTTGCTTCTCACAAGAAAGAGTTTAGGGAGTTTAGAGATATGTAAGAGCTCTTGCTCTTAGGTTGTGGGGTGTATAATATCCACAGGTGAGTTCTAGGAACCAAAACTTGTAGTCTTCATCCTGTTTTAACTATAGTGAAAATTCCTCGTTGCCTTTGCCCATGGACAATAGGGTTAAAGCCAAACCACATAAATCCCAATGTTCTTGTTGCTTTTATTTTTCATGCCTATTATTTCTTGTTGCATATTTGGCTATATTTCTTGTGAAAGTTCTTGCTGTCATATTAGTTTGTTTGGCTCAATGTTTCAACATTTTCAACAATATGTTTGGAAGCTATTATCTTAAAATTATGAGACAGGCAATGCTAAATGAAACCAAGTCATATATTATATATATATAAAGAAAGAAAGAAAGAGAAAGAGGCAAGTCATCCTAATTTAGGCATCAAGAATGATAGATGGAAATTTCAACAAAGAATGATTTTTCCATTCATTAATCGAGTGACTAAGGTAAATTACAAATTTGGCAGTCCATCACCCATTATGCCTCACCACAAGATGCACTTAGATCAAAGATGCAAAGATGACTTCATCCAAATGCAACCTTTTCTTATTCTAAATTTAAAATGCGTATTTAGTTCCTTATAAAATGCTTGTTTAGTCAAGATAGGCAAACAACAAGACAAACAAGTTAACAAGAATTAATAATGCAACTTCAAGTTTGATGTTGTAAATTAAAAAAAAAAAGGACAAAAACTAACAAGGCGTTTAGGCAATCTTAACCACTTAAATAATATTCTAGTAAAAGGATGTTTTTGTTCTCAAAGTAACTGATAATATCTTATCAGGTTGCAAATGCCTAGTGAAAACTAAAAATGAGATATAGAAGAAAAACAAACCATCAAGTGTCCCGTCCTAGCTATCCAATTTTTTCTATCTGTAAAAGTGGCACTTGCTCTCTTTACCCAATGCAAATCTAGCAATGCTACAAATATCTATATCTTCACCCACTACTTCCAAAAGTGTGCCTCTGTTAAAATAAATATTAATGAATTAATTAGTTCTCATCTGACAAATATTCTTCAATCAAGCCTCAGCATTGTATTATTAACCTATTTCTCTCTGCCTGAAACCAATATTAAAGGAAAGGAAAGAATACTAAACCTCATTATATACATATACAGGAAAAAATAATACACAAATATTTATCTATTTATTTTCAGAGGTAGGACACAGGGTTGAGTAGGGTGTTATAACAGACTACTAAGACAATTCAGATTTAAAATGAGATCCAAGTATTATGTTTGTTTATGCTTTTTTCTTTGATTCCATAAGTTCCATGTAATCCAACTTTATAAGTATTGTTTCCACCGTCAAACTAGGGCCTATTAAAAGGCAAATTCAGCTAGATCTTCTAATTATAAGAAGTCTATTAAAAGTTATAACCTAGTAGTTAGTGGAAAAATAGGGTCTTGAAGAAGTAAGAAGCAGACTGTTATAGAAGATCAAGAGTTGAGAATAGAGCTATAACTCATATCACTTGTAAATTATTTAGCTAAAAAGACTTGCTATTGGAGCTCGAGTTCGAATATTCACAGCCTATGAATCTTATGTTAGAGCTTCAGGCTCCATATCTAAAGAAACTGAAGTCTAATTGGACATTTCATCACAAACCAAACCAAAAATTAAGGCATCAACATAAGTAGAACAATAAATAGTTAACAAGTTTACAACAATGTAATCATAATGAAAACATTACCTTGGCAACATGTTCCAAAGTAATAGCCTCCGGAATAATAGCTGTGCGGAGTTTGATCTGAACAAACCCGTTGCTTCCTTTCAATGGAAAGCACTGTCCTGGCTCTCCAAAACTTGGCTTCAACATCTTGTCTGCATCACGATGAACCCCATTTTGACTACTTTTCAAAAACCAGTTGCTACCCTTTCCAACAAGTAAGGGCTCGGAATGCATAACAACCTTTCCCCCACCCGAAAACAAAGCATAATCAGCCCTCGCAAGCCCGTCTGAGGCATGCTTCTCAATCTCATTCTTAACAATCTCTCTTGCATAGGCTCCTAGATCACTCAAACTCACTGCATTTTCATTGTCACCATTTTCACCCTTCTCTTTTATCAGTTTTTCATACAACTTGTCAAACTCTTCCTTTGTCAACAAATTCGAACTCTTCAATTCACTTAAGGACTTATCCAATCCCTCACTCTTTTCTTCCAATTTCTTCAATGAACTCTCCACTGCCCCAATTTGATCATCAATTCTCTCATTCAATTCTCTCCTTAACCCACCAATATCATTTTCAATTTTCCGATCAACAACCTCTACCTGAACCTGAATCATTTTCGCCGTAGTCTTCAAAAAACTCTCAACCTCAGCAACCCTGCCCTCAAATTCAGTTAATCCCATCTGTGTCCCAACCCGACTAGCCTCCCCACTGTTCATAGCCAATCTCCAAATAATCTGAACTAACCCAAACAAACAAGCAAAAGCACTAAATTCTTAGTAACGATACTAACAACAGTCAACCACCAGGGTTTCTCAGTCTTGTTGAGCACTCCTTTCCGTGTCCGCCGCAGCGTAGCGTTCGAATTTTGACCCAAGGCGGCTTTTCTTGCTTGCACCGTGTCCTTCGACGCCTCGCCACGGACGGAGTGGTGGCTCAGATCTCTGCTGTGACCGGCAGTGGCAGCGGCACCGGCTTTATCATCCCCAATGTTAATCCATTAGGGTTCGGTTCGGCGGTCAATAACTCGATGCTCGACTTCTTCTCGCCGACGACAACAGGCCGACGGCGAGCCACCGCCGCGGGGTGGCAGAGATGGAGACGTTAGATGCCGACATTGTCGTTTCGAATCCAATCAACCCCAAAGAATCGAAATTTAAACCCCAGAACAGGATTGAAAACGAATTATAAAACCCTAAGTGGGTCTGGTTTTCGGAAGGGATCGAGAAATTAGGGAAGAAGGAATTTTAACCGTCAGCGAGAGGTACTTTCGAGCGCTTCTGTGTTTTCAAATGATTTTCGGAAATCGTGGCGTTTGGATTTTGGGCCCCACCGGTCCAAGTTAACATGAGTTGTTGTCCACTTGTCAGCCGTTTCTTTTTGTTTTGTAACTTTTAAGTGGGCTTCGTAACTTTCTGTGATATTTGAAGCATAACAAATGCAATGGTAATGGTAGAGACAAAAACTTTATCGCATTTAGGAAGTATATATGTATTTTGGGTAATATAGTTGTATCAGAGCAAACTTAATCAAGAATCTACCAACGCCAAGCACCTCCAAAGGGGAGGCAAGTAGGGTGGCCAACAATGCGAGGACATTGTCGAATTTGGCAAGAAATAATGCCATATCAAGCATTTCAAAAGAATTAATCTCACATTGAGAAAGTAGAAGATCTTGGAAAACCTGTAAGTATGGTATTGCACACTCTATCAAGTTAGTTTTATTAGGAGAAGGTAATGACCCGTGACAATAACACTTAATCTTAGAGTTTTTAAGTTATTTTACAATATTTCAATTCTTTTGAGTTTTAAGGATATTTTGGAGAGAGATGAGAGAGAAATAGGTAGAGGTAAAAGATTGGAAAAGAGATAAATCGTTGAGATGGGAGGAGAAAGGAGGGTACGGCAACAAATTGGTCCTTTCTTTTCAAAATTGGTAGAAGAAAGGACAAAATGGCCTTCGTGAACTTCAATCAAAAGTAGAAGAAGACAAATTATTGGTTTTCAAAAAAAAAGTGATGCTCGATCTTGGCCTTATGCAAAATTAGATGGTGATAGATTAAGGTTTGATTCCAATCATGCAATAATATCATTAATATTAAATTATCAGAAGTTTTCCTTCATCAATAAGACATTAATTATAATGTGTTATATGAAATTAATATGCTTTGTAGGGGAATTATAATGAGTTGCAATTATGAAATCCCTATGCATCAAAATATAATCTCTAAATATTCTTTATCGATGTATCGTTGAGACTGCACGTCAATGATGCCTAAAGACTAATACATTCTTTTTTTCTTACTTGAGAAGTAAGCAACCATTCTCATTGGTTGAAGTATAAATATACTTGGATCTAAAATGTAGGTGCTTGCCTAGAAAAGCAAGTTTACTGAACATAACTCGCCATGAGAAGTGCATTTAATATTTCACCTAAGTGTTTATACAATACTTTTCATGTGTTAGTTGTATAAATACTACCTAAACTTGAGACACCAAGCTGTCTTATGTGTGCAATGTTATGCTTTGGTTTCATCCCCACTAGTACCTAACCAAATATGCCAAAACAAGATATTTTTAGATATAGCATGAAACATATGAAGGCAAATAAATGGTCAAGATAAGAATTATTACCTTAAGTGATTTAAGGAGACATATCCTATCAATTCTTAGTTGACATTAGCTTATTGAAGTCCTTAGTCAAGGCGACTTGGAGATTATGAAAAGAGTTTCATAAGTCTCTAAAAAGCTAATGATCTAACTATAGGAATCAATATGGAGGTTAATAAGCGTAGAAACTATACCATGCTCTTGTCATCTCTAAAATATATGATGATGGAATGAATAATATTGATAGACTGTATACTAAAAGGTTGTCAAAGGATACTTGACTTTCTTAACAATTAGGTGGCCATAATACATTGTTAGATGTCAATCTTGAACTATAGAATTGAATTAAGCGATTAATATTACAATTTCATTCCATTGCCAACTTATTAGGAATCTAATGGATCACACACAAAAGTTTTATTATGAATTAAATTGGGAGTGTGATTATCTACGTTGGACTTAAATCATACTTTAGGTTTTAACATCTAAGAACTTAATTAAAATAGTTTAATTAAGTGTAAGGTCAATATTATAAATAGTTATAATATTAGAACCTTAATTGCAAACATGACAAAGGAAATTAATTTGATTTTAATTTTCAAGGGCTAAATTAAAAAGGTTTAATTAAGTATTGGGCCAATATTATAATGGGTTAGAATATTGGACCCTTAGTTGCAATTATGGGAGTTGTTTAATCTAGGTATAAAAACATATGACTATGAAACTTTAGTTGTCAAAACCAAAAAAAAAAAAAATTGGCTGCCTCTCGTGTTTGAGAGAAAATTCTTATGATGAAGTTCTCTAGAGTGGTTTGACCTATAATATGTGTGAAGAAAAGAACAATTGTTGTCCACTCTACTAGAACAGAGAGTAATTAAAAGCTCCTACCTTATTGAAGGTTCAAGTGCAATTGTGTGGATACCATTGAAGGCAAAATGCTTGGATGGCTTGGGTTCTTTCACCCTTTGTGGTGTTCACGAGTTTGAGTGGAAACAAGAGTAGTGTTGTATCTTCTCTCAATAAAGAGGATTTGCCATCGTGATTACGACATCACTTGGCTAGGTAACATTTTTTATTACTCCTTTTAAATTTTGTTTGTATTAAAATCACCAATGGAATCCATTGGTGGTGGCATGGCATGGTACGTTAAATTTTAATTTCTGCAGCGTATGATAATTGTTATCTCTGAGTTTCATGCCGTTTTAGTAATGGCGTTAGAGCCTCTCTTGGCTCGTCATAATATAAATGATGTTTCATTGTTGTTGATTCAACATTTATATGTTCGAGTTCAAGCTGGTAAGGATTTAAAATTTTTAAAATCTATTTTGGAATTGTTTCAATTTTCTAGATAGATTTAATTAGTGAATTTTAAATTTTAATTTTGGATATACTAATCTAAGTTTTAGTGTCTTGATTTGGTTAGATTAAGAAGTGCATAAGATGCACAAATTAAATTTTTGTGCAGTTTAAGGTGCAAAATTCGATTTTGTCCAACAGTTGTTGTGATTCGGTTTTCAGTATCAAAAAGGCATCTAATGGCCTTGAAAAATTCTGAAAAAATCATGGAACCAATGTACTAAGAAGGATTGTCAGCCAAAGGTGAATGGTGGTGCAATAGCCACAAAATCATGGCTGGTACCGTTGCTGCCAACCGTTGTTTTAGGCCATGGTTTTGACAAATTTGGGCAACTTGAAAGGAGCTTAAATTTGTGCAATTAATTGCACTTATTGGCTAAAATTTTAAATTTTGAAAGAGTTTAATTAATACCACCATAGTAACTGTAAATTGCGTCCTAGTTAACCTGTATGGGTTGGCTCTATTTAACTGTTTTGTCCAAGATCAAAGAAAGATGGAAACGTGGGTGATTAACAGACAAAGGTCACAATTTTTGACTCATTTGCATCCAAAAATTATGAAAATTGAATATGAAAGGGCTCCATATGTTAGCTGACCATAAAAAAGAATTAGTAGCATCATTGCTGCCACCAGCAACAACAAAGAGTCACGATTTTGGGGTGATTTGACCAATTAATTTGCATCCATATGTTGGCTAACCAGAAAAAAAATTTTGAAATTGAAATTCCCAAAGTTAAGGTCTTATAAAAACTGAAAATTTTGACTACACCAATGCCTCCTACAGCTAACTAATGCCACTATTTTGGCATTAATTACATGCCTGAATTGCATTCTTAATTGGTGAGATTTAAATTATAAATTGGCAATTGAATATTTATGGAAAGGTTTCCTAAAAGATAATTTTGACATAATTAGAATTAAGGAATTTATTTCTTAAATAAAAGATGTCAGGATTTAATTTATGGCACCTATAAATCATGGAATTTGATTCCTAAAATTATGGGAGTCAATAATATTCAAAAGCTCATTGGATAATTATAAAAATAGTTCCACAAAGATAATAAATTCTGATATTTTGAATTAAGGAATTTGATTCCGCAAATTAAAGATATCTGAAATTATTTATTAACACCAAAAATTAAGGAATTTGATTCTTAGAATTATGGAAGTCAAAAATAAATGAAGGCAAGTCTTTTGTCATGAATAAATTTCCTTTAATTAAGAAAGGAAGTTTGAATAAGATACTAAGATTAAATTAAAGAATTTCTTGTCTTAGATTTGATCTAAATTACTTAATAAAGATTAGGTAATAAAAAATATGTAATCTTTGATTAAATTGGATTAGTAAAAGAGTTGCTTAAAGTGTTTAGGACAACAAATTAAAAATATTTTAATTCATAATAAAATTTAATTCAAATCCTAATAAGACTAGGATTTGATAAATTACTAATTTTGCTTAGTAATACTTACCATATATGAAAGAAGTTTTCATATATAGAATTAAATGGTTACCAGAAAATTGAAATTGGCGAAGTTAAATATTGAAAAATTGCTAGTCCCAAATATATAAAATAATTTGCAATTTGAATAAGACATGTTTTAAATTTTATATAAATCTATATATATATATATATATATATTCATATTGATCGACGTATGTGGATAATTATGGATTTAGGTCCAATATAATTATACTATGGTTCAATATTTTTTTTGGTATTTTTTAAATAGGGCCTACGTCTTCTGTCTTATCTCTTTATCTCAATTTGTAAAATTCTTTCCTTATCTTATTCCTCTAAAATGTAACTCGAAGTTTCTATATTCAAATGTAATTAGAATTAAGATAGATTAGGAGTTGAATTTTGAAAAAAATTGATGATGAAGATCCGAGGCGCCACAAAAGACAAAGAGATTACAAACAGATTTTTGAAGAGTCTTATATGTAATACCCTAAGTTTGACCAATCTAGTTTCCTTTAATGGCTCAAGGAAATTAGTTTAAATAAAATACATAATCATCCAAAGTAGTTTGCATGTGATAGATTTATTTTATGCAATTAATAAATGTTATGCAAGATAGGATGAGACTTTAATAAAAACAAATAACAAAATTTCTTGATAAATATTGAATCATGTATCGTGTATGATTAAGTTGCCTTCCACTATATAGTAAGATAACCTAATTGCTCTTTTAATTGGAGACTTGTTGAGCACACTCAAAGTCACACTTTTACACAAGTATGTTTGAGCTATTAGTGGGTCCTACTCAATTAGTTTCATAAAATTCGGATGCTTGGAAACTTGATTGTTATGGAAACTAGAGGCAAATGTTAAGCAAAATATATATGATATGTTTAGGTAATGTATTGTCACCTAGCTAATCTGGAAACTGTATAGAGATACAATTGGTAAGCT